GAAGCCTCCAGCAGTAATGCAGTGTAACTGAGGAAGTTTTAAGCCTAATCTTAAAAGTAGAGCTGGTGTCTGTCTCCTGAATCCAAGCCGGGAGCTTGTTCCACAGATAACAATGATAACAATGAATGACATTTATTACAGCAATAATGTAATTAAAAGCACAGAGAAAATGATCCCAAAAGTGTCCAGTAGGACATGTTTTGAGCTGTGATCCTTTAAAGAGGCGTTTTCAGCTTTCCTGCTTGATTAGCTTCTCCGCAGTGTAGCACTGGTGTGTGAAAGACTGTGCTTGACAGACACCTCTGTACAAATCCTCTGCTATATTTTAATTTCAAAACTGATTCTAAAACTAATTAACAAGATGCCAAAGTTCAATAAGTGTAAAACTTTAACCAGTCTGTTGATATTGCTCAATGTTTAACAGATTCCTGGAGTTTTCAACAAGGTTACTTCAGCTGAAATATGCAAGTTTTAATTGTGAATTGTGTCACGGTTCTGGGTCCGTTGGACCCAGTATTTTGAGTTCATTATGTTTTGGTACTTTTGCATCATGGATTTTCCTTTATGTTTCTCTGGTACTTGGTGTTTCAGTTATCTTGGTGTTTTTCTATATTATGATTTATGATCTGATACTGTTGTGATTATGATTATCATTTAGTAGCCTTTGGTCAGTGTCAAGTCTGTCTCTGTCTAGTCTGTGTCTTAGTAAAGTGTGTTTTGTTTCCTGTTTTACTTTGAAGGTTCTTGTTCCTGTCTGATGTTAGTATGTGCAGCTTTGTTCCCCCTGTCTCGTTAGCCCTGATCTCTCCCAGCTGTGTCTCCCTCCTGTTGCCGATTTCCCCGTTACTACCCTGTGTATATAAGCCCTGTGTTTTCCCATGCTCAGTGTCGCGTCGTACCATCAGTTTATGCCTGTGTGTTCTTGGTCTCAGTGTTCCGTCCTCACTTTATGTTTGTTTTCCTGCCAGCAATAAAGCTGAGGTTTTTTGAGTTACATTCCATTTTCCGAGTCCTGCATTTGGATCCTCATCTCTGCCTGCCCGCACACAGAGCCTTGACAAATTGGTGATCTAACCAGGAAATTAACAAGTGGTTTAATGAGTCTCTTGATGCCACAAAGTGACAGATTGGGTACAGTTTTGTGATATTGCTGAGATAAAGGAAAAATGAGCACTGCTTTACTTGTTTTCAAGTGTAAAAACTAAGTTAATAAGTATGGTGATGTTAATCAAGCACAGAAACACAGACCTGAGAAGACGTGGATCACACAAGATACGTATACTAAGTAATGGCAAGGGGGTTTCTTAAGATGAAACAGCAGTATTCGTATGATTTAACAGACATCTCTAATAGATATATTTAGGTACTAATATATTACATTTTTATCCAAAATGTTTAAAACAAGTGTCAGTGCTGAAAGAAAATTTGGTGACGTGACACTTTGCGTAATGTAAATGTTTGGTGTTATTATTTTAAACTGTGACATGTTAGTAAAAACTGCATTAAGATTTGATGATGATGTTAAAAGGCTTGAGAGTCATTCTCAGTGTTGCAAACAAAGTCATATGATAGTTATAGATAGTTACAGAAAATGTGTGTGTGTGTGTGTATAAATAAATGTGTGTGTGTAAATGTGTGTGTATTTCAGTTTAAAGAGAGTTGCCAAAGAGCAGCAATCAAGCAAATCCTACTGACTGACTTTCAAACCTTGGCAAAATTAGGAAAAAACTGGAAACTGCATACTTTCCCGTACTGTGCAGAGCCATTTCTGTCTATTTTTGATGAAAATGAACTCTCAGTATAAAAAATACTGTATCAATAAATTCAATCAACACAAAAACAAGCTCAGCCTGTATTCATAAAATGTTTACTTCAAGCAAGCTGTTAAGATGTCTGAAACACTGCCCTCAGCCATGCCCCCAGCTTGAGTCAACGTACAACTTTCATTTTTTGGATGCAGTGTGAAGCTATGTCACACTTTACACCAACTCTAGCTTGAAAATGTTTCAGCCATGAGCAAAGAACGGAAAATGTTCTGTTGGTTACAAAAGGGAACACAAGCTCACTTACGCACTCCTGGAATCTAAGGAACAAAACCCCCAGCGGATTCGATCTCCAAAACAATAGCATCAGTGTCAGTAGGCTAGGGCTGTGCGATATGACCAAAATTTTTTAGTCTTTTGCGGTCATCCGTGGCAACTTTTGTTGAAAGATGTGTTCAGCAGATGGTTGTTTTTATTTGACAGTATTACACTACAAAAGCCTGTTTGGAACATGGATGAAACCAATGGTACATAAGCAAGAAGAATCTCTGCAGTAATTTGAGCTGAAACTTACCAGATATTCTTGGGATTTGTACAACAGGCTATGCTTTTGTAATCTGGGACCTTTAGTCCAGGGTGCCATTTACTGATAAAGTTATACTGGAGGGACAGTTCCTTTGCTTATGCTGGGGCCTCCAAAAGAGTTGCCAAGAGAAGGCTAATCTTGCAGACACTTATTTTTGAACAGCTGAATCCCATTTATGCACAAAACATTAGCACAGCAGGAGGCACGGAATATGAAATACAATGGACCTCATTCCTGGCTACAGTGTTCTCAAAGTTATGACAGATTATTGTGAGTATTTCTTTCACATTTCCTCCTACATAACTTAAGTCTAACATCTGTTGGGTGAATTAGAATGGAGACACAAAGCCAAACACGAGTCAGTTGACACTAGACAAATATTGAAAAATTGCTATTAAATGCATATTGAAATGAGACGGTGCTACACTTCAAACCTCATATTTCTGCCAGAAATGATCCAACCTGCAAGCATCAGCCCTTCATGCCTCCTAACCAGCAACCGCTTACTTAGGATATGACTATGTCGATGAATATAACTTCTATCTTAAATAGAAGAAAGAAGCAAGTTTATTTAATACTGAACACTGGCTCGTTTTAAGTAACTGCCCCAGCAAAATTACAACTTTACATTCATGAGTTTGTCAAATAATTTTTTAAGAAAGTGATTTAGAAATTACAGATCATCGATCAATGGTTTACCATATCCTTTCTGCTAGGCTACCAAAACTGAATAAGAAGCGACTTTGATACGTGTCGTTTTTTTCCAAGTAGTGAAGGCCTCCACACTTTACTAGAAACAACAGTGTCTGAGAGAGCACTTTAAAAACAAGCATAAATTGCAACCCTGTAAAGCACTCTTTGTCCAGGCTTTTAATATCAAGACTTTTATTACCAGCCTTGACATTGTGAGTGAGGTTTCTGGAGTGTTATTGACAGTGAATGGGCTCCGCTTCTTGTGGTAGCTCCCATGGATGCCTTCAAGCCTCACTCCCCCTATCCTGAACACTCTTTGTCAACCTTCACATTCAGCATTTCAAAGACACATAACCAGACCAGTTTATAATGTGCTCTGCAGCAGAATAAAAGTAAATTCCTGAATCATCAGGCACACATCCCTGTTTCTCAGAGTAGTGCTTTTTTTTGCTGGTGGAGGAAGAGTCGACAAATTACAAGTGAAACCAGACCGAAGCACCAGTTTACGCAGTAGGCTTTTTAAAATTAAAGAAATAAATATAAACTGTCATTTTCAGGAAAGGAAGAGCTCGAAACGCCAATATAGAGGTATGGTAGCTCATCAGCTGTGTTCCACTTAGTCAGAAAATCATTTGGAAAAGACGTGTTTTGCTGGCAGGTGCAACAAGGAAGTCAATGATGGTAATGAGAGTTTGTACCACCTTCTGGTGACCACAATTTAAGGTAGTAAAATACAGCACTGGAACAAACCCATCCAACCAAACAGTTAGAAATTTAGGAATTATTGAAAAAAATGTGGAGGTTTTAAGATTTTGAAAAGCAGCAATGACAATCCCTTAAAGCTCTCAAATATCAAAATTTAACGGCAAATATACCACGTAAAAATACTTTATCATTAATTCTAGAGGAGCACAGACGCAACAAAATATTGCTGTCACCCTGTAATGATCATGTAAATAAAGCCCCAGAGCAAAAATGGGGGCGGAGGTGAGGAGGTGCAGATGTTTCCTTTTCTTCTCCGCTTCTCAGACAGGGAACCTGGTGGTTTTATATTAGCCTGTGTGAAAGGGAGAGGCTGCTGAGGGAGCCTTTGTCGGCTGTGCTCCGTCTTTCTGGCTCCGCCTTTATGTTTGAATGCCTTTTGAGACAGGACGTGAAGGTATGCGGCTGGAAGAGGGCAAGTTCAGGGATGAATGGCTTCACATTTTCATTTGTTTTTAAAGTACAGGTTTGTTTTCACCCCAGAGTGTCCTCCCCTCCAGGATGCCCCAAAGCAGAGCAGTAGCAGTGTGGGTTAATTATCGAGGCGTCATGCTGGTACCTGCATATAGAATTAAGACAGACACACAGGGAACTATATAGAAAACTATATATTATAAGCTACATGCAGTAATCAAGTGCCTAATTGGATTGTTCATGCAAAAGTGAAAAAAAAAAAACGTCCAGATTATTGAAGTTTAGGCTTATTACTTATTTTATCCATATCAAAATGTGGCTGACAACCTTTACTTGGGCAACAATTTGAAGATGTCACAGATCAATAAATTGATAGAAATAGAAAAACATTTTGTCTGCCTTTACTCACTGGCCTGTATGCATGCTCCCCCCTCAACCTTAAAGCCTCTTCATTTTGTGTGCTACAGTTCATTTTATCACACAATTACTTTATAAATCTTATATGATAAAGTCTGATGGTCCTCTTTATTATACGACAGCAACACAACATGGTGTTTATTTGTAAGGGACTACCTTAGAAAAAAGCTCAGTTACCTCTGCTTCCTTGTTACATTTAAACATACTCCTTACACACGGTTACAGGACATTTTAATTTTAGCTGGACGCTATCCACACTGAGATTGGAAAAACTGAAAAAAAAATACAAAGAAAGGAGAGGAAAAAATTATCAAGGAATTCAGTTTTTATTACCAAAAGAAACATGAGACGTGACAAAAGTAAACAATAACCTCTGAAGCCTAATAAATCTATGCTTTCTTTACACCACACCACAAGTCAAATTTGTATTATTTAATTTCCAGTGGAATAGACTGCATTTCTCATCAGCCACTGAAGTCATGCTCAGCAACCCACTCATAACTTTACTTGAATGTGCAAAGAAAAAAAAAAGAAGAGAGAAAAACATTGGCAGGGAATTGCAGCAGTTTTTTACGAAACAGTGAGGTGAAAATGAGGATTTCAGTACTTGACAAAACTGAGCTTTGGTGTCTCCATTCAAACTCTGTCAAGCTTCCCTTCTCTCCGTGCTTCCATGAGACAACTATTAACGAGCGAGATGATTTCAAAGGCCCTCTGGGTTGAAGACTGCATGTCCGGGCATCTGTGGAAGGGGAGGGAAAAAAAAGTCCCATATTGCTCTCTCGCGCTCCCTCTCTGTCTCCGTCTCCTCTCTCCCTTTGAGAACTGACAGAAGTTTTGACAGTGGCAGTAAATTCACTTTGCAGACCTGCTGGGAGGCAGGGGAGCACAGCGATGGGAAGGCCTTTCTGCACTTCAAGGACCCCGAGCGTCTGCCGGATAGCCTGTCAGAAATACCGAGGCTGATAATAAATTTGCTTTTGCACAGCTGTGGCTGTGAAACGAGTGCAGAGGCACTGGGGTGGAGGAGAGAGCTAGAAGAGACAAATCTGAGGCAACTGGTTGGCCCAACTTTTTTTCACACAGGGAGCAATTTTTCAAACAGTGAAGGCAAGGCAAAAAATAAAATTTATCACCATTACAATTTCGTCACACAAATAACAAACTGTATGTCCTGTTTTATACAATTTTATCCAATAAATGTTCCAGAAAACTCTTTTCCAAACACATGCTCCAAGCTGAACAGTAGCTCACAAGTTTAATTATTAATTCAGTTTAGCTCTGTTTAATTAGTGCCAAATCACAAGCAGTTGTTTTAAAGTGCTTTATATTGTAAGGGTAGCCCATATTGTGTTTAATATATTATATATTCATTGGAAGGTTGGTGATTCTAAACCTGGCAGTTCCAGTAAGCAAGACAGGTGGAGATTTATGTTTTTCTAAGCTTTTACAGTTTAATATTGTCAGTGTTTAATTTTTTAAAAACCACAGGTTTAACATAAATCATTCATAGCTTTGCACTTCAAAACATTTATGGATACATGTCATAATTCATGTCTAATGACATGACATGAACTAAGCCTAGTCCTAGTTTTATACTTCTGGGATGCAGTGGAGAACTATTAAATAAAAGATTATTTAAATAATGTACTGAAAAGCATTTAAAATAAGAAAAAAAGCATAAAAAAGAAAGTTTTATTCCCGTTAAATTAAATTATGAAATAGATTCCAGCTACTCCAGTACAGGTCATATAATAAGCAATAAAATATTTAGCAAATTTGATAATGCAATAATGCAGTTATGTAGTTGTGAAAATATCTTTGTCTGGTGCAGTACAAGTGCTCCTGATTTTGTCTCACATTTTTATCAATTTATAAATTAGCTAGAAACACTGTTAATTAACTTTACAAAGCTGGGATTATTGTAGCATTCACCACTGTAATACAAAACTGTAAACTAACTAACTGACTCCTATAAGTATAGTAAAAATGTTAAAATATGTAATTCCTTTAATTACATTTTGGGTTTTATAAGACATGTAACTGTTTACCTACAAAGATGTTAAATATGGGGCCACAGTGCTGATATATCATAAAGCCCTGTGGTATGTATTCTGCTTCAACAGATATTAGGCTGTCACATTTGTCAAAAAAATACTGCATGAACACTGGAGCAGTCATAGATCAGTCTGTGTTAGAAATATTAAAATCTCTAACTTTTACAAGTTAGAGATACAATTTTAATGAGCACAAGTAACAACAGAGACAACTTTGAACAAAGTCAGTTGAGACTTTATTCTCAAGAGCTATTAATTGTAAAGATTTCACTGAATAATACATTAAAAAAAAATAATAAAAATACAACTGTCACAGCTATACATCTGGTTTGGTTGACATATCAGAGTCTGACTGAAACATTTATAAAGTGATTTCCTTTTAGCATGGGAGCATAGTCGAATGTCTTTCATGTAATCTGAAATGTCTTTACTTGAAGTGGTTTGGGAACTTTGAGGTAAGATCAAACAGCTTTACGCTTCAAGATAAGAAACCACCTATCCTTGCTCAACCACCAGCTTAACGCTAGTTTTCTGGGATTTACTTGCTCATTCTGTGGTCTCACTCTTTGTATACATACATACATGGCTTGACTTCATACATACATTACTGGTGCTCAACGCAGTACAGCTTCTAGAGTTCAAAGGAAGATGCAACTTTGAATAAGGTTTTTGACTTTGAGTGATTGAAACATACACTTTTACATTTTATATTATGGATTAATAGCTAACAGTTGCTAATTTAAAACAACAATAACAACAACAACAACAACAACAACAACAACAATAACAACAATATTACCACTGCCACTGAGAAAAAGAGTCTACAATATTAAATATAAAATAATGACAAAATGACCGAGAAGTCTTTGATTTTGCATTTGAAATCCTTCCTTTGTCCATCATCATGTTGTTTCGAGCCAGAATTGGCCATATTATATATTACATACTGCACACCCTGCTGAGATACGCCACCTTTTCAGGTAAAAACTCTTTTGAATCTCCTTGATTCTACATTTTAAAAATAGGTTCTTTGCTAAGTTAGTAACACTGGTTCATGCCTTGAGTTATGTGCCTTTTATATGCTTGAATGATTCATAGGTGAGTGTTAAGTGGTTTAACAACCAACCAACCAAACAAACAATGACTCAGGGTTGGCTCGACACTTTTGCAGAGCACTGTATGTTAGCTTGACCTTTTTAAAAACTTTTTTTTTCCACTGTATAATTTGTAATGGAGATTTTCACCATTCAAATGTTGTAAGTTCTTGATGTTCTCACCTAAATGCTTTGCGTAGAGCAGAGGCTTAACGGGGCTTTCATCTCTAGATTTTGAGCAACAAACCCAACTGTTTGATACAGTTTGAAAACTACTGTGTCTTAAATTTTGATTTCCCCCTCGCCTTTTTTTTTCACAAGATGTGCTGCGTTTAAAAACTGCACAATTAAAACATTTGCTATCAAAATTAGTCGCACAGATGTCATAAACATTTCATATGTGAATTCCTTTTTTTGTTTTTCTTTTTTGTAATAGGGTTTAGACAAATGAAATCATTTTTTGAGTCATTTAATTCTTAAACTCCCCCATATGCTGTGCCATCTGTGCTCCACATAGCTGTTCTGTTTTCTATTGGACCAGCACACAGTCTGGCAATCTTACAGCTTGAAACCCAAATAATGGATTGTGTGTTTGCACAGGAAATCAACCTATTTCAAGTTCACATATGTCTTTTTCCACACCACCCTTAGACCTAAATAGCGACAGTTTCTCTTGGCTTCACACACTACAGCTAAGCATGCTAGCAGGAGGGCAGCATTTAGCCAAAGCATAACTGCCTTCTGCTGAGGACCAATTTGCTAAGGAGGGTCTTGGAGGAAAATGGCTGTGCTTTTGTTGGCTTGGAACGCTGCTCTATTTCAACAGAACTGACCTTTTCCAGACCAGTCAACCAACAAACTCTGTGGACACCCAGGGAGAAGGCAAATGAAGGGCAAACAAGATTAGAAAGAAACTAGAGATATTTTGTATGTTATTTGAAGCAGGAATAAATGACTCACCATCTTTTACACTTTGGATTTTGGATTGGAAGTTGAGGAATATGACTAAAGTATTCTGTCGCTATCAGACACCAAATGTACATGTCATTCAAGAATGGGGTTAATGAAGCTGAACTCTGAAGTTGGTGTACTTTTGCAGCATCTACTCACCGAATATTTGAGCATTTCACTCAAAAAACAGTAGCTCTGAACTACCTCTTAGAACAGTAGTAATAAAGTAACCAATGCAGAACAGAAGACTATGTTTGAGGTTAATATACTGGCTGGGAAAAGCAGATGATATCTAAGTCTTCTTGTAAAACCCTAACCATTGTGCCTACCCACAGTTTTTCTCTCCGCACTCAACTCTTTCCTTTTCACCTGATGTTTTTTTTTCCCGTACAGCTAATTCTAAGTACTGTTTTTGTGTTGGAATCTAAAAGTTATGAGTAGATAGTCATCAGCAATCTATGACCTAAATGCATGTTTAATAGTGAATTTTTTTTCTTGATTATTCGTGGCTGCTTCTGCTATGCTAAAACTGTGCTTGAAACTAAGTCTTAATGTCTGAAGCCTCTAAACTAAAAGAATTTAATTGTAGGAAGAAAAAAAAGTGCTCCTTTGAATGTCTGAGGCTCGATCAGCTGACGTCTTAAGCATAAAGCAGTACAATCAAAACTTGCTGCCTCCACTGTGCAGTGCACAAAAGAGGTCCAATGTGGCAGCTTTAGTCGCCCTCTGTGGCTTGGCAGCTCTTCTAACCTGACAGCGACTAATTCACCTGTTATAGAAACTGAATGTGTTTGTGATTTCTATAAACATCCACTGCTGGGTTGCTGTGGGCTGCACCCTGCAGAGGAGACGTGGATGAGTGATTGATAGCTGTCACAGTGCAAGCTGACACTCAAAATGCTCAAATTTCTTTAATGTCATGCTTTTATTTTTTTTTACTGACTGAAACTTAATATGCAAGGTTTACTGCGGCATTATTTGAGGCTTTGCTAGTCTTAGCCAGATTAAACAATTTAACCTCTAAAAGCCACATTTAGAGGCACATTACTAAAATAATTTAGTAGTCTCACCCCAATCTGAGTAATCTTTTGAACTACAAGCAGCAGTAGTCAAATTTCTACATGAGATGGAGTCTAAATTGACTGATTAAAATATACTACTTCTGTCACGTGATAGCTAAACTGACCTCATTAATGACTTGAATGAAATGACTTTACCAGAATGATTTACTTCGACTGTTTGATGACATCTTTGTGGTGCAGATAATCATTCACCTTCTGTGTGGAGATGTCAGAATCAAAACACAGACACAATAATGGATGCACTTTACATACAGTGATTTAAGAGTGCTGCTGAAAGCCGCGCGTGTGTTTCAGTCATTCATCTCTTGTTTTTTTAGCCTAATTTGACATACTATGACGTACATGAATATAACATACAAACTAATTTAAATACAAAAAGTTCAGCTACGTGTCAATAATTGCGCTGCTTTCAGCATTCATTCCATCAGGCATGTTCAGTTTTTTGTTAACATTTCACACAATTTGTGTGCTGAGAAGAAATTAAGTGACATTTACAATGTATATTATTTCTGTCCAAGTTCTGGCCACTTCACATCCTGTGTTATATGAAGAAATCCTGAATAAGGCGATTATCAAGGTGGTTTTAATGAAACTGTAAACAGTGAGGACACTGAGGGGCTAAAGGGAAATCCAGAGCTGCATCACAGTTTTGCAGCATAACACCAATAACCAACACATGCCATTTGAGGCATTGTTAACAAAATAATGCTAATAATCTCACCTTTACCACCTGAAGTGGCAGTTTTTATGATAATTGAGC